TACCGCCGAGTCGAGGAATGAACCAATCAATCACAAGAATGAATATCAATGAAGACCAACCACCTCGGAATCAAATGATGACACAATGACTTTTTATCGAGGTTCACTTGCTTGCCGGCAAGCTAGTCCTAGTTGTGGCAATTCACTTACTTGGAGGTTCACGCGCTAATTGGCATCGCACGCCAAACCCTCGATAGGGTGCCGCACAACCAACATAAGATGAGGATCACACAAGCCGCGAGCAATTTATTAGAGTACCTTTTGGCTCTCCGCCGGAGAAAGGTCAAGAACCCCTCACAATCACCATGATCAGAGCCGGAGACAATCACCAACCTCCGCTCGATGATTCTCGCTGCTCCAAGCCGTCTAGGTGGCGGCAACCACCAAGAGTAACAAGCGAATCCCGCAGCAAAACACGAACACCAAATGCCTCTAGATGCAATTACTCAAGCAATGCACTTGGATTCTTTCTCAATCTCACAAAGATGATGAATCAATGATGGAGATGAGTGGGAGGGCTTTGGCTAAGCTCATAAGGTTGCTATGTCAATGCAAATGGCCAAGAGAGTGAGCTAGAGCCGGCCAAACGATATTTATAGACACCCCAAATAATAGAGTTGTTGGCTCAATTATTGGGCTGACTGCAGGACGACCGGAAGCGTAGGTCGTGTGCATCGAACGCGTCCGGTGTGGTGACCGGACATGTTCGATCGCTGCGTCCGGTTGCAGCCTGACCACCACGTGTCCCTTTCAAATTGTTTAGCCATTGGTGTCCAATGGCTATCTCTGCGCACAGTAATACTACGTGATCGGACGCGCTGTTAGAAAACGACTGGACCTAGGAGACGCAGCGTCAGGTCGAGTCCAAAGAGCTCCCAAAGCCGCTCTATGCCTACCAGACGCGTCCGATCATACCAGACCGGACTTTCCCAGCGTCCAATGAATTATTGCGCTAAAAGCCCGAGACTTGCTAGTTCACACTGTGGCGACAAGACGCGTCCGGTCGCTCTCTGCAATCCTGCATCGGGCTATATCACTTTGACTTGACGCTGAATAGTAACTCGTCAGCGTCCGGTCACTCTACTGAGCCAGAGTCCGGTCACTTTCACTTTAGTCGCTCACCTCGGGTCCAAATATCGGACGCGTTCGGTCCTGATTCCGGACATGTCCGGTCACTTCTGTCTAACTACCCCAAGACTGGATAAAATACCGGACACGTCCGGTCCCGATTACGGACGTGTCCGATCACTCTGTGACCAGCGCGACTAACTCCTTTTCAACTCTATCTTCTTTACCCTTGCTCAAATATGCCGACTAAAATGTATCACCTTGTACACATGTGTTAGCATATTTTCACAAACATTTTTAAGGGTGTTATCACTCCACTAGATCTTAAATGCATATGCAATGAGTTAGAGCGTCTAGTAACACTTTGATAACCGCATTTTGATACGAATTTCACTTCTCTTAATAGTACGGCTATCACACTACACGACACCAAGATTAGCAATGGATGGTCTGACACTAAAAGCGGCTACAGCGATTGACAATCTAACGCTAAAAAGTTATAGCGACAGACTTCTACAAACGGTATAAGTCCTTTGACTAAAAATCTTTAACGTCAGATAGTACTTTTAGCGACAGTACTTTTAGCAACAGATAATCTGCTGCCCTGAATATTTATAGCGACAGATGGTTCAACAGGACAATATAAATATACACAAAAAATACAATGAGAAAACATGTAGCACATATCACATATCATACCTAGATTCAAGCTTAATATAGTGTCCACATGTCACATGAAGGTACACAAACATATATATATTACATAGATAGAGGTCAATACATGTTACATCCAATTTGTCTTGTACACCATATGCTTGTGTACATCATCCAGCAAAGTGAAGCACCAAAAGAGTTACATAAGTGCACATCTTTAATCCATGTCTTATCCATGAGTCTTCGCAGCGAGCAGATTTCAGATTATATTTGTTCACACTACAAAATTTCATAACAGAGAGCAATTAGAAATAAGATCAGCAACTGACAACTAGCATTTGCATTGCCACTTGGCCACAACACCTCTACATTTTTTTATAAAAAAATGGCATGGCTTTGCATATGTGACCATATAAAAAAACTCATGCTTCGATGCACAAAGACGACAAACTTATGATACTATCATGCTAGAATAGAAGTTCTGCCATTATTTCGAGTTCAAGGCCGAGCAAGCAACACAAGTAGAAAGCAGCAACTATACATAGAAGAATAAATGTGGAAGCCAAGTGCGATAGAGATGGAACACCCTACTCTGTGTGCGGTGTACCAGAAAGTGTGACACTACTCAAAGTAGTATTTTTCTCAAAATCGAAATAAACAGTTTTACACATGCTGCAACTCCTGTGTTCGGTGTACCAAAAAGTGTGCCACTACTCAATGTAGTGATCGCATCTTCCACATAGTCCCCTTGGAGCATTGGACTCAATATATTATTTTTCTCAAAATCAAATAACCGTTTTGACGCATGCTGCAAACTCAGATTACATACTGAAATTAAACACATAGAGGACTGATAGCTGCAGCAGCTACTGCAAATCAACTTATATCTTAGTTACTAATGCACATATGCAGTAAAAATTTCAGAGGTAGTGACATTGTTTGGAGGCCCAACACTAAAGACAGTAGTTTAGCATAAGAAATTTGAGATATCTAAGAAGTCAATTGAGCTTACCTTCACTGTTATTGGCTTACTACTTCCCATTCAAACAGGGTTATATATCTGGTATGTGCCTAGCAGTAATTTTAGCTAAGAGAAAAAGGATAGAGAAGCTCTGCTCTTATTCAGATAAACAAAACTCTAGTTGTCGAACTGCATGTGTTGCTCACATTATTGGTTACTGGATGGACTTTGGAATCATTGTACTACTCTACTACAGCTGTCACTAGGTTTGTACACAGTTTGAATGTAAATTTTAGAGACACATACCTGCAGTGCCCTTGAGAGGTCCAGATGCCTTCTTGCAAACCTTCATCTATCACAAATATGTTTAATTAGGAACATTGGTCATGCATCACAGATCAAACCAAAATGAAAATTATGTCAAGTCTAGTTTACCACTATCTGTACTATTTTACCATCTAAAAAGAAATAGCTGCAAACATTTAAACACTACACAGGACTTAGCCATGCTTGGTTCAGAGTTCACTTTGAACTCTGAATAATGATTACTGCTACTGACCATTAGCCATGCTTGGTTCAGAGTTCAAACTTCAGAGAACAATAGTCCGGCTGGCTCCTGCCTCTGCCTGAGCTAGTGCTTGACCTTGACGTGTTGCTGCCTACTGCATTTTAGATAAAACAGACAAGCTGTTGTTACAGCATAGAACTGAATTGGAGAAAAAAATGATATGGTTCCCACTATGCTCTAGTTTCATAAATGATACAGGACACAAGCTGCACATCCAAATTATTAAAAAAGTAGCAGTTTACTTAATGCCTAAACTGTGTTGATCAAACAAATATCTAAAACTTATACATACTACAGTTGCAACTACGTAATCACATAGATCAAACCAAAGAACTTTAACTGTACTGAGTCAGATCAATTCAAGTTTATTTAGTAAGAGGTAAACATGAGGAATATATTTTCTAAAATAAAGCTCACATTTGTTAATAAACTTTACTTAATTTCAAATCATTGTGAAACAAAATTCAGAATCACAAGAGAGAGATCCAAATTAATCTAACAAAGTAGTGGCTCACTGTCCAGCTTCAACGCACAAGAGATGTACCATATTGCTACTTCTAGAAGCCAAGATAAAAACAATTCCAAGTGAATTCCTATGCGTTGACCAACCAAAGAGAATCAAACTAATGTTTTCAGTGATTAGCAACTGATGGTTTGAACAGTTGAATCACAAATGCTTGAAAGTGACATACTGCATAGGAATGGAATTAGTCCCAAGCTACTACTGCTGCCATATATTTGAATTGCAGTGAGAAAAACTACCAGCGAAAAGCACGAGCTGCTGCTGCACTAGTTAATAAAAACCTGCAGTCTTTAGTTGTCAAGCTGTTAATCAGACTTCAGAGAACTGATAACAAGAACGAATTGTAGCAGCTTCTGATTCTCATTAGAGAGGAATACAACAGCCTGCTACTACTGCTACCAATCTGAAAACCAAGGCAGGCAAAATAACTCGGAACCAAAGAAGATAACAGACATAAGTCATTCCCACTTTTATAATTTAGAGTACAATTCAATCAGCCTGGGATAAGCATATTTGTGTATGGACCTATGCTGCCTCTGTTTGTTGATTATTTCTCTATGGTTCCTTCCCAGACATGTACTCATGTATTAGAGAATGGAAAATTATTGATATTTTTTTTCTGGTGACCATAACAGCTACATGAACTGCCGCAGGGACCAAACCAACCAAACAAAGAAAAAATAACAGTAGTTCTGAACCTGAAAGCTGAACGAGCTGCTGCAGTTTAACTCTGAACACACGTCCTCATTGAGCTCCAAAAATAAACCTGCAGGTTGAAAGATAATTCCGCTGCTGAAAGAGAAGCTCACCAGAAATAGCTAGTAGAGAAAATACAAACACAAAGCACCTTCTAGTACAAGTAAGCCAAGCATACAGCACAATTTGCCATTCTCCCATATCTTCCTTCTAGCTTACAAATACCACGTAGGTTGTGTTGTGGAGACTCTATGTCTGAAACATAACAATGTGTACAATATGAGTTTTTCCTCCTACTGCAGTTAAATAGTCATCTACTACAAATAACAGTTAGTTCTGAACTTCAGTTCACATATTTCATCTACTACAAATATTCTAATATAATTGCTACTGCTTACTTATAGTGTATAGAGAGGATTTTGGTTCCATCTGTCTAGTTGAATGTCAAGTAAAGCCAAAGCGAACATCTAATAAGCCCAGTTTTCCCTAAGTCACGTTTCCCCCCCAAATCAGTTCAATCCGAACCCTAGATGTTGAAAATCCCCAAACAGTCCATAAGCTTCACCAAATCCCGTCAAAATCCTAATCCTAGGATGAAAGATAAGCTCTTTTCACTCACCGTAAGACATCGTCGTGCTCGCCCTTGGCCCTACGGCCCTGCGCAAAGTCACCGGCGGCCACTGAAGGGAGCTGCGCCGCCGCCGCCGCTGTTCTCCGGTGCGTGCTCACCTCCAGCTAAGGGCGCTGGCACAGAGGCCGCTCGACGGTGCCGCGCACCTCCAGCTAAGGGCGCCAAGGCGCGGTGGATGGCCACGGATGCGGGGCGCCCCGGGACCGTCGCCGCTGCCGCTGCGGAGAGTGCGGGGGGCGATGGCGCCGCAATGGCGACCCGACCGGCGTGCAGGCGGAGCAGCGTGAGGCAGCAGCACTCGGAGGAGGGACGCCGGACAGCGAGGGACCCCGAGGTGGCGCCATTCCTTCTCCACGCTCGGCGTCGTCGTTGCCGCATCTGGCTGCTGCGTGCGTGAAAGGCTGATGGAGCTAGGGTTTTGAGGGCAGCCGGTTTTGTATCAACCGAGAAAGAAGGCTGGTCGTCCGATTAGGATCGATGGCTGCGATGAGCTGCGCACTAAACGGGCCTACGGGAAAAGCTTGCCCAAGGGGCATTCTCGGCCTGGGCCCAGGTGGCCGGCTGCATGGCCTGTGCGGCTGCACAGTGTGGTAAGAAAGGCCATGAGAGTATTTCCAAATCAATTTTTTCATTTATTTATTTCTTAAGTGCCCTGTTTAAAAAAACTGTTTAAGAATAAACATTTATGCACTATTTGATTTTAAATTAAAAGGTTATCAACAACAAAGTTGTAGAACTCATGTAGAGTTGCACTATCACTCAGCATTACATGAGTCACCTTATGGTTAACTTGATTCATTAGAAAAAAAAACACAACCCTAAATTCTTCCTAGCATACTGCTTGGCCTCTAAAAGAATTAATATGGACACAATGTGCTCTTGGGGCGGGTCGGATTTGGGAGGGAGCAGAGGGCGGCGGGCGCAGTAGCTTTGGGGAGGGAGAGGGGCCGAGTGGGCGGGAGCTTTGGGGCTAGCGGGATTTGGGAGAGCAAGGGGAGAGGGAAAAAAGGCGGCGCTGCCTGGATTTTGGATCTGGGAGAAGAAAATGGTCTAGGGTTTCTCACTGTATTTGTGGGCTAGGCAAAAATTTTGCGTGCGAACTCAATGTAAGTGTTCCCTAAAAAAACTCAATGTAAGCGGGCGCGCGAGCTCAATATAAGCCGGGTGTGCGAGCTAGGTGGGGGCCACTTCTTTTTAGCGACAGACAGATCGACGGTACACCTGTTTTTAGCGACAAACATTTCAACGTTAAATATAATTACCTATAGCGACAGACAATGAATCGTTAAATGAGGAATTAGCGATAGATCTTCTGTGAGTTATCTTTAGCGACAGATCGTCCATCGATGAAAATAATTTTTAGCATCCGATGTCTGACGGTGATGCAGTGTTGTGGTGTAGTGTCGATCCTAAATGTGATCACACTCACTAAGTGTCTCGATCACCAAAACAAAAAGCTCCTATCAATTTCACCTTTGCCTTGAGCTTTTTGTTTTTGTCTTTCTTCTTTTCCAAGTCCAAGCACTTCATCATCACCATGGCATCACCATCATCATGTCATGATCTTCATTTGCTTCACAACTTGGAACGTGCCACCTATCTCATAATCACTTTGATAAATTAGGTTAGCACATAGGGTTTCATTAATTCACCAAAACCAAACTAGAGCTTTCAGCGGTGACCAGGCGGTGCACCGTCATCATCGTGGCGGTGTACACCGGACACGCCAGTGCCGCCCTCACTTCTGGTGCTTCTCGGCCAGGGTTAGGTGGGCACCACCCTAGGGGTGGCGGTGCCACTGGACAGGGTGGCGGTGCCCCACACAAACACCTTCCTCTTGGCCTGGCTCAGTCGGTCACCGCCACAGGGGTGGCGATGCACCGGACATGGGGTGGCGGTGCCCCCGTGGCAGCACCCCGAGCCAAGTTTCGCCTCCTTTTCTTCACCTTTTTCGCCACCTTTACAAATATGCTAACACTCCAAGTGTTTCACCATCACGTGTAAGTGTGTTAGCATTTTCAAAATCATTTTTCAAAGGTTAATCACTTTCTCACCGATTGTGCACTAGGCCTAAAATGCATATGCAAGTTTTCCAACACCAAATGGCACTAGATGATCGAGTTGTCCGATAAGAGCTCCCCTCTTAATAGTACGACCACCTATCCCAAATGTGATCACACTCTCTATAGTGTCTCGATCACCAAAAACAAAATGGCCCTATGAATATCACCTTTGCCTTGAGCCCATTTTGTTTTTTCTCTTTCTTCTTTTCCAAAGTCCGGAACTTGATCATCACATGTGTTCACACCATCACCATGATCTTCATTTCATGTGGCCATCTCCATCCATGAGTGCTACCTAGCTCGTTCACTTGGGTTGGACCAACCTATCTCAAATCCACTCTAAGAGCATAGGGTTAGTCCAAATATGTTTCATCAATTAGCCAAAACCAAACTAGGGCTTTCAGCATCCCTTCGCTGCTGAGCTCTGGCCGCAGGGAAGCCCGCATGGGCCTAGATCCAACCGGATCTGTGCCGTCGGCTGGCCCCGAGTGCACGCCATGATGAAGACCGGGGTGGAGAAGGATGTAGAGGGTCAGAGGAGAAGTGCTCCTCTCGAGTAACGCGCTCCCTGGCCGAATCGAGCGGGTGGCGTTGGATCTGGCATTCTGGCCGCTCTGGGGCTAGATCCGGACAGGGCGTTGACAGAGCCGCCGCTAGGCGACGAAGGAGCTCACGACCCGCAATGAGGAGCTCACGCCCCACATGGAGGAGGTGAGCGCTTGGCGAGAGCACCGCCGTCACCATCATGGGGAGCTGACGAGGTCGAGGTTGGACGAGGGCCACCAGAGTTTGCCGGACATGGGAAAGAGGAGCACTAGGCCCCCAAGCATGTTCCCCACATGGAGAGCTAGTGACCCGCTGCACCTAGGTGGAGAGCCTCATCGCTGCCGTCCTAGGGAGCCACGCGGGCTTCCCGGCAGCTCCCTCTGGCGGCAGCGAGTGGGGAATGGAGGGGGAGGTGTTGGGGCGACGGTGGCGGCGGCTAGGTTTTCTTGCGCCCTCCCAAGCAAGTCGCCTCTAAAGTAGCTCGGAATCGAACAGGTGTGGTCGATACCACTGCAAGTTATAAATTTTCCACAGAATGAATTCTCCTAGGAAGAGAGTTCAATGCTTGGATGACACGGGGCTACGACAAAACTAGTACCGGCCACGCCACGCATGATATTGTAGTTTCATCGTTTGCCTGCGGACTGCTGGCCACTGGCCACCACATCCACTTGCATATATATGCACCCCCGGCCCATTTTCTCCCTGCACTGCACCTTACGTCACTACTGGAGACGCGCCCTTTGCCGAGTGCCCGGGGCACTCGGCAAAGGTCATATTGCACTCGGCAAAGGCTTTGCCGAGTGCCACACTCGGCAAAGAGCAAACGGAAAAGCCGCATCCGGCGAAGGGTTCTTTGCCGAGTGCCGTTTGTCGGGCACTCGGCAAAGGCTTTGCCGAGTGCCAGGACGGTACTCGGCAAAGAAAATTGGCCGTCAGCCGTTGACGGCATCTTTGCCAAGTGTCGGGTCAGGAAGGCACTCGGCAAAGCTTTTCCCTTTTTTTTGAAAAATCCTTTGCCGAGTGCCTTCCTGACCCGGCACTCGGCAAAGAATTTTTTTTTTGAAAAATCCTTTGCCGAGTGCCTTCCTGACCCGGTACTCGGCAAAGAAAAAAATGTTTTTTTAAAAAAAATCTTTGTTGAGTGCCTAGCTGAGACGGCACTCGGCAAGGAAAAAATATTTTTTTTGGAAAATTCTTTGCCGAGTGCCAGAGCCCTGGCACTCGGCAAAGCTGTGAAACACATGGTAGTGTACACAGCTTTGCCGAGTGCCAGGGTACTGGCACTCGGCAAAGAGACCTGGTAGTGTATTTTTTGGCAGCTTTGCCGAGTGCCAGGGCAAAAGACACTTGGCAAAGGCTCTTTGCCGAGTGTTACACTCGGCAAAGTGACCAAAATTTTTTGTTTTTTTTTGTTTTTTGCTTTCGATCACTACAAACACAACATATGACATATATATCACATCCATCACATATATACCACATCCAGCACCTTATATGTCACAATCCATCACACATACCACATGAATCACATCCGTTCACCACATGTCACAGTAATTCCATCCATTATTCGACAGGATTCCACATCATTCAACAAGTAGTTCAAATCCATCACCACATGTCACAATAACACATGCATGACAACAACATTGTCTCGGACAGAAATCCATTGCGAAGAGAACAAGACATGAAACTACAAGCGCTACTCACTGAAAGCGGCCCTTGATGTGGCCATCCTGCTGACGACGGGGAAGGAAACATCTGCTCATTCGGAGTGCCCTGAGCTGGGTTGTTCAAACCTGCCGACTGAGGCTGCACACAGGAGAAGAGATTGCATGAGACAAGATTAGTTGAATAGCGATTGTAGCAATTCCTTGCATGTGTGACATTACTCACTGGAGTAGCGGAGTGAGGAGGCTAAGGTGGACCCATTAACCCAGGAGGCATAGCAGCACCCGTCGTAGTTTGCATCCAGGCAATAATGTTCGCCAACCTTTTCTCCTGGGTGAGTTTGTCGGCCTCCCGCGCGGCCCGCTCGGCCGCCAACCCCAACTCCAGCTCCTGGGCCCTCCTATTTGCTTCTTCCACCTAGGCCTACAAATTGTTGCAAAGCTAATGTTACAATAATGCAAAGGAAATAGAGTTGTGTAAAGATCAATGTACGACGAGTAAAACATGAATAACCTGGAGTGTGTCGACCCGGTGCTGTGAAATGCTCGGTCGTGAGCGTATCGCCGGGAGTGAGGAGGCGGTCGTGCTCTATGCTCGGATCTGGCAGAGAGTGGGAGTAGAGGCCATGTCGATCACGTTGTGGCCAATCTAGTAGTGGCCATGCTTCTTGCCTTGTCCAATCCTCATGATGGTGTTTGCATCAATGTTGTCGGTCCGTGGATCATACTCTGGCCCATGGATCGACCTTGCCGCCGCCGTGTACTCCATGATTTTCTCGTAGGCGCTCGAGTTTGTGTACGCCTCGGCCGGGTCATCCGGGTTGAAGGAGACGTCGGACGACGCCTTGCCCTTGTGTGCCATGGCAAATGCGGCGAAGTTGGAGCACTCTTGGCCTTGATGTGCCGCCGACTGCAAGAACGAAAACAAGATGATTAGAATTCTTTGCCGAGTTCAACGAAAGGAAGAAGAATAGAAACATGACCACGTACCCATGCTCGGGCGTATCCAAAGAGGTTGCGGTTGCCTTGATGGTGTGATACACCTGGCATGAACAAACGCCGCTGCCGGGCAGCAGCGTGCTGAGCGGCCCACTCCGCGCTTAACCACCTATCCACCA